TATAAAATCGAGTGAAAATTAAATAAAATGACTCGAGTCAATTCCACTTTGCTAATATTTTCATCAATGCAACCCACGTGCAGCTCACGTTCGAATTGAAGAAAGTTGTGAAATCCACGATCAACCACGAGTGTCTTGGCTGTTCGATGAGAGTCGAATTAACTCGAGGGAAAAATAATTTTCACGTGACGTGTGATGCACACGAAAAGAGCGAACGAAGCGTTGGAACACAACGAAGCAGGTCTCCTTTCAGCGTCCATTGTTTCCAGTATAAAAGCGGCCAACGCAACCGGTCGAGTATAGAAGACGTTTCTCGAGAAGTCTATTGTTCCATCTTAGGATCGCGAGAACACGTCGCCTCTCAAAAATTCCTTCGAAGTCATTCGGCCATCTCGAGTGCCAAGAGCTCCCGAAATATATTTCCTAGGCTTAGAGTTTTTCGCGTTTATAATATCGAAAAGACGTATCGTTAGAGAATTTATTCCTGTTTTTTCTTTTTTTCCTTTTAATGAAGATTGCGGTGAAAGATGATATCTTCCGATTTGTTTCTAAAGTTGGGTTTTATTTAAAAATCAAAATCAGTAATCAATTAATTTTTTTTAATATCAAGTCTCTGTGAAAGGCAATTCCAATATCTTTTCATCGTTGTGTCTTTCACTTAGATTCAACAATTTTGTGAAATTTTGAGAAATTGAAATATTTGGAATAACATACGTAAAAATAGTCTTCAATAGGTTCTTAATAATTGAAACTCTCAGAAGTCAAACTGATCAACTCCAGTTTTTAATAATTCTTCAATTTCATTACACAAGTATAGAATTATTATTGTATTCTCTATAAAGAATTCGTGTGTGATAATAATTATCTAATTTTTTCTAATAATTTATCGAGCCAGACCTTATCAAACATCTTTTGTACATCGGGGAATAAATTCTCTTTCCGTCTAGTGAGTAGAATGTATCTGTTTTACAACAAAACGTTGCGCCCTGTATCCGAATTGACATCGTTGAATAATATCGTGCGGAGGAAACGATATTCTACGCGTAACAACGATAAATCAAACTGTATCGTCCTGATTTGACGACCCGCAGGATTTCGCGGATAATTCCCAGTTCGAGAGGTGACACGAGTCAGAAGTTAGTTGGCCTAAGTGTCTTGATCCAGATTACACCCGAAAGTTGTCACGTCGCCATCGGCGCGGCAAACTTTTCAAGGGGATCTCCACGCAGATACACAAAGTCTATCCTAGCGACTAATACGTCCCAGAGGCGAGATTATCGTCCTCGTGTTCCTCGCCGAATTTTTATCACGACCCATCACCGAACACAGGAAGTGGATCGAACAATCTTTCGGAAGGAACTCGCTTACGACATTATTATCGTGGAATGTTTCTAAATCTATCTCGACTAGATTGTAATTGGATAGGATCAAATTTAAATTAACAGTTATTCAGAAAATTAAAACTATTCTATTCAAAAGTTATAATTATAAATAAACTGTCTATAAAATTAATATACAAAGCAATTGCTCGTATACAGGATACTTAACCTAACCTATTCGTGTTACTGAAAATTCTCTCGACGACGTTATTCGTCTTAGTTTAATTATTCGAAAACATTTACAAAGAGGTACAACCACGGCAGTCGACGTATTAAATTTATACAATGGAAAAGTTGATTCAATTCGGTTGGAATTATTTTACGAAAAAGTTTTTAAATTGAGAGAAAGAGAGAGAGAGAGGAAGAGAAATCTTTTTTTAAAATTGATCATATACAAAGGTAGCTCGTTTCTGTTACCTTCCCTGAGCGTGAAATAAAATTAATAATGCAGACCCGCCTTCTGTTTGCGTTGTGTGCTTGTTGTTTGGATTATCTTTTTGAATAAAAACTGCTCGAAATGTGACAAAACGTGGTTATCCAACCCTCGTGGAATTGCGCCATTGCATTCCAATTTTTCGGTTAACGCAGAAGACGATAGTTACATACTATACATATGAAATGGATTGGAATGTATTTGTCCAAAAATAATTATCAGGATCTTTATAGAAGTTCATATTTTCGAGAAGTAGAGAACTCCTTTTACGTTAAATGTTATAAAAAGGCACTATACTTTTTCATACAATGTACGTTCTATCCGATTGTATGTTTTAAAATTTCCTATAATTACATAAAAATCCGCGATCCAATGATATGCACATTATACGACATCAGACTATTACCTTAACAACAACGTGCTAAAATTTGAAAGCAACGGAGATACATATCTCTTTTACAGGATTGAAAATAATCTGTCTTCGGTGAAACTGACAACTCCCCGTGGCTCGATCCGCAGAATTAGACTAAAGCAGAGTCGGATTAAAAACAGGAAATTACCTGGCGAAGCGAACCGTATTCGAAAGCAGACGGTTGATTCGAAACAATCATGCTCCCGGACGATCGAATTAATTCGATTGTTCGTACGACTGTCACGCTAGAACACCGTAAATTATGCCTCCTGTTACGTGCATGTCGACAGCAATGACAAGCGATTCGTTACCGCTATCGGTAATACTGTGAACCATAGCGTGCAAGAAAGAGAGAGAGAGAGAAAAAGAGAGAGAAAGGCAGAGAATCGAGGTAAGGAAGTAAAGAAACGGAGTGACAAAGACAAGACGGAGAAAGACAGGAGAGGATCGAGAGACTAGGACAAATCGCTGGGAGATCCCTTTTCAGATTATCAGTACCTGGCCTGGATTCGTCCGAACACGTACCAACCGTTTCCACTAGCTACCTCGGCCATTGTTTCGACTCGTCGACCCGTAATAGCCGGCTGTTTTTCTAACGCCGCCGTTTCAACGGTTCCTAACCCGTGCAGCACCGATTTTCCTTCGAGATTTTCCCTCGCTGCTGCTCGATCACCGTGAAAAGGATCCTCAACCGTTTAGACGACAGAGACTCTAAGAGAGAAATTTCGTCGCGTCGGATTGTTCGACGAACTGGATTTTAAACGAAGGAGATTTTTGCTGATTTTCTGATTGCTCGGTATTTTAACACGATGTACAGAGGACCAGAGGATTTTGTCCCATTTGAAAGTGGAAGTTTCGTGAAAAATTTACGACACAGTTAATACATATTGTACATTTTTGAAATATCAATGTTTCGTTGTGACAACATGTACATAATTAATATTGTGTAAATATTTTATTGAAATCAAAATTTTCAATGTATATTTCTTAATGTGATTATTGTTCAAAAGAAGCTCATAGTCTAGTTTTGATAATATATGACTGATTGAACACATATCAGAATTTAAAGCTATTGTCTATTGCATGACAATCACATCATTTTCCTTCTGGTCCTCTGGTCTATTTCTTTTTTTTTTTTTTTGTTCGTCTGTTTGTTTGTGCAATATATTCTAAAAATTATCAAATCGCATTAAAACACTAAAATCTAAAGCTACGCACACAAACAATTCGAAACTAAGATCTAGAAAATACTACGTTACATTCTATCATACTTTTCACCTATTAAGAATCACTCAGTCGTCATAATATTACAAGTATTATAAAACAATGGATTCTGTGCAAAAGAATTTCCAACGAAATAAAAAAAAAAAAAGAAATCAAAGTCCTTTTTACAGCCAAAGCATTGTTAGAAAACAAAACTCATTTTGTTTAAACGACCTAACGATGGTTCCAGTGAAATCTAAAACCACCCCCAAATCAAATCACCCACGGCCAAATCCCTAATCCAAACTCTGTCAATTAATTCACCGTCGCTGTCTACCAACGACAAACCTAACGCAACGCAAGCAGATCATCACGAATAAATAAATTATCCCTCGTTCTACATAATGCGCGGGACGCTCCAGCGGCCATTACGGTGGGATTAAGTGATACGAGTCGGGCATTGATCAGGCGCGGCGGCGAATCATTTCTGATAAAACCGTAATCGCATTACAGAACACAAGGACAGAGAAATGAGAGAGAGAGAGAGAGAGAGAGAGACAGAGGGGAGAGATGGAGAATAATATGTCTCGTGAAACAATTCTCGTTTTCTTTCTCGAATACTATCCACTCTCTTTCTCTCTCTCTCTCTCTCTCTTTCTCGTTGAATAGGAAAATAGGTAGTCTCCAACACGGAATTCTGTCCCCCCCCCTTCATGTTACAGAAAACTCATGCAACAAACCCTTCCGTATTGTGGTCGGCAGTTTAGAGCTCTCGCATTCATCATAAGCCGCACAGAGTTCCCTAGCTCGGAAACGGGACAACACATAATACGTTCCGCGCGTGTTTTTGCCTCGTGTAAAACCTCGAAAGACGCTGGAAACGAGGATATTTCGAGGTCATTCGACTCGAATCTGGGAAATTTCGCATTCTTGATCGCGTATGCGGATGCAAGAAACGACAGAAAGTGTCTCTTCTCTTTTTCTCTCAACATTCTTACTCTAAGATTTGATTCTATTCCTACGGGATTTTTCTCTTATAATTCGTTTGCAAGTTGCTTTTCCTTTAACTGTCGTAGTTAAACTTTGAGGAAACATCAACGATCAAATTCCAAGTTCTGTTCTAAATTGATATATTTTTTTTTTTTTTTCTTGTTGAAAAGAGTGTTTCCTCTTTCTTTTTTTTTAATTTTGAGACTTGTTACTCCGAATTTCAAAATATACAATGTAACTAGCAACGTGCAATATATAAATATTACATTAACTTTAATTATCGTTACGTTCAATTATAATTAAACTTAAATTGTCACTTTAAGTTCAATTATTTTTCAATACGTCAAATTAATACTTCAATTACTCCGTTTTCCAGTAATTACATTATTCTCAATACGTCCGATTGAATTTCAATTATTAAATTTCAATTATTTTTCATTACGTACGCCCAACTAATTTCTTCTCTTTACCAAACGTTAGAAACGCGAGATCTCTTATATTTAATCAGTACGCGACGCTTCTCGTTCTCTGTTTTCGCTCAACAGGGATCATCGGCAATTTCGTGATTCGTGAAGGGACTTACCGAGGAACGCTTTCATTAAAATCGGATCCCTGGAACGACAGCAGAGGATAATCCCGCGGCGATCGGACCTACTGTCTGCATTTGATTTTCTCCTGCGGTCAGAGATCTGAAAGGAAGTTAACAGATCTGGTTAAATCAAATTCAATTTCACAATATCTTTCGTCGATTGTTGCTCGATCGAAATCTATTTCATATTCGAACGTGATCCTTCGTTCTACGGATTCCTACAAATTCTCGTCTGTCTAATTTTAATTGTAAATTCAGAATTGTATCAAAATTGTTCCTAATCCTCTTCCACGTTATTTATTGTAATCCAGTGTGTTATTTTATTTAGATCACGTTCGAATATAATAATTCATTTTACAAATTCTAGATCTTCCTTTGTCCAATTTTATATGAAAGTTCACACGTCAACTAGTCCATTTCTCTCGAGCATACACATTACTCTATTTTAATTTTCTCTTTCTGCAACCCATTACATAGTATTCCAATTACAAACTATAATATAGTAGAAACATAAATTTAATACATGTTCTTTTTTTATCTGTCTTGTTTACGTCTGTTATAAAAATATATATTGCGTTCTACCATTATTCTTTATTATGTTTCTTATGTTTTATGCATCGGTTGTTGAGAAATTAGTTCTAATATACAGTACATTTATTTATTATAAATATTCAAATATAGTAAACGTATATTACAAATTTTATTCATTAACATGTTATATTTTATTTATTAATATATTACGTATGTTTATTATTATTATAATATATTACAAGTTTTAAAATTTATTAATAAATAAATATTGCAAATGAACAAATATTAAAATATAATAAACAATAATGATATAACGTAATATATAATAATATGATAATAATAAACATAAATAGGAGAGATAAAGAAGAACGTATGTCTAATCTATATTTTTATAGTTCAATCTACATTTAATATATACTATACTATACTATAGTTCATAATTGAAATATTTCAGTTGCAAAAATGGAGAATTCAAGTGGAATGAAATAAATAGAATTAAATTGTATCAACATGTGACGATCATTTTCTTGAACAATCAATTTGTAAACGTAAAAGCAACGAGATTTAGAAATTTTTGGAAAACGACGTTTATATAACAATATAATAAATTATACAATAATGTTTATATAACATCCATACATAAAATCAATTTAGATAGAATTGTAGATATAATTCGGATAAACAAGTGCAAAAAGTGCTCCAGTTTACTGTCTGAGAAACGAAGGAGTAAAAAGCACAGATCTATCCCGTCAACCCGTTCCAGCAACGAAAAACAAAGAGACGAGAACAACCGCAGAGCCAAATTTAACAAACAAAGTTAATTAAATCCAGCGAGTCATCGCTGATTAGCAGCGATAAACGTCACTAGTACAACCCTCCGGTGCCGGACCCTTCGTGACTATCCACGACTAACCAAGTCATCGCGGGACAATGATTTTCTATTCTGGCCATCCACTTCGACCACGAGCCGAAGGACGCTGGAGTGCTACCTCCGTAGGCAGTTTCTTAAAGAGGGAAACTAATTGGTTATAAAATGGCCTCCGACGACTCCCGGCCTTGCAAAGTCGTGTGCTAAGCACCCTCGATCCCCAAACACCCCTCTTGCGTTTCGCTGGCTCGCGCGATACTACACTCGATACAATAGAGAGACCCTGCTTCCAGTGTCGAAGATCACGGTTGCGATCCATCCTCCCTTTCATCCCTCCCTTCCCCAAAAGATAGATTTTCTTCAGATGAAACTTCCACGCGACACCCAACAGAATTTATCTTCCGTGAGACATCAGCGGACGATAAAATCGGATTAAAAGCGAGTCGGTCGATTTTCTTTAGCGAACGCTGCCGCGGATGGGGAAATTCGGGAAATTACTGGAGAAAGCTTCGTTTGCTATTCCGTGTACCAAAGGGGAGAGAAAGAAGAAGCTCCCTCCGAGACGAGGGGAAAAGTGGCTTTTATATGGGACGAATTAATTTTGATCTATAGGGAGACGTCAGGGGGACCCGATGTAAATGGTTGTTTCCTTGGAAAGTCGTTTATGAAAGGGAAGATCCTTTTCCCTTGGCAATTAGGATCAGCGGGAGTGTGATTTGAGTTTGGTTTCGGCGAGATATTTTTCGCGTAACGTTCTGAATGTTTCCGGCTTTTAAATTTTCTCTTATATATTTTCGTAAATATATAAATTTGAATTATTCGATGTGTGATGTAAATGACAGATGCGTAAATAAATTTTTAGATTCACAAATTGTTAGATTCCTGGATTTCTATTTAGATTTTTAAATTCCTGAATTCTCAGGTATTCAAATCCGTAGAAGGTTAAATAAATTTTTGGAGTCATAAGTTCTTAGATTTCTAGATTTAAAAATTTCTAAATTCTTCTAGATGTCTAAATACCTAGATGGCTAAATAAAATTTCCTAAATTTCTGCATTTTCAGATTTCCAAATTCCTAGCTTCTTGGATTTCTAAATTTCCAAATTTCCGAATTGCCAGACGGTTAGACGCCTAAATTTCTAGATTCTCAGATCTATCTAAAATTTCCAAATCCTCAAATTCCCAAATTCCTAGATTTCAAAATTCCTGAGATCTTAAACTTCGATTTTTCTATTAAATTCTTCGACTCCTAAATTTCCAGCAATCACCTAAATCACGTTCAAAAATGAAAAAGAAAGGAAATAAAAAAAGAATCACGAAACCAAACTCTGTACGCGTAATAATAAAATCGAAAGGAATTCGAAAGCTCGAATATTCGTACGAACACGAAGAATTGGAGAATTGGTGGAACATGTGCTCATTTGGAGACGCTCGAAGAGCGACAACGCAGTCTGGAAGGCAATCGGCGCTCGCGTCGGTATCGACAACATGTAAAATATTTATCGAACGTCATCGGAGAACGACAAACAAGGAAACGGAAATTAGAGAGGAAATAGACAGGGACACGAAAGACAGGACAGATCAAAAGACACGTTCTGTAAACCCTTTCGCCTGGATCCTCGTCTCGGCAGTCTCGTAAATTAGAAACCAGCGAACGGTAGTTCCGCAGGATTTTCAGCCATTCCGTCCACGTTTCGAGATCGCGTTCGCGTGCGTCGCTGACGTAGTTATCTTAAAAGGAGAGAATCTTAAATTATGAACATCAATTTCACGCCGTTGCAAGTACAAAGAATCTTCGAATGAGTAGAGTAAGAGTAGACTAAGACGAAAGAGCAAAAAATCGAATAAAACAAGCGTTACTAGATTTATGGGAATTTTTTGTTGGATTTAAAGTTGAAGTGTTCTTTTTGAAATTCTGGATAGTTTTTTTTTTAGGGATATTTGGAAATTTTGAACTGACATTGTTATTACTAAAAGATTGGAGGATTTAAAGTTGAATTGATATTGATGTTAACAAAGGACTGGAGGATGTTGACGACTTGATAATTGAAAAATGAAGACTCGGATAAAAAGCGATAATTGAATTTGCGAGGATTCCCTGTTGGCTTTAAATTCAAGTTTGGATCAATTTGAATTATAATTTAATTTTGATAATTAAAAATATAAGAGGACAAACGATAGGATTTGTGAGAATTGCTTGCTGGTTTCAAATTTAAGTTCAGATAATTTGGATTACAATTTTCAAAATTTAAGGATGGTGGGAGAAAACAATTGAAAAAAACAAATCTAATAAAATTCGTAAAAATTATGACTTACGAACGATTATGAATGATCATTATGAATGTGAAATTATAAATTTACGTAAAATTATGAATGATTATTGAATTCATAAAGATTCTTTGGGTAATTTTAAACTTGAATTTTAAATTGATATTATCACTATGGGTAGTAAAGAGAGTTAGTGATTATTTGATTATTAATATTGACGGTGTTAATAGCAATTTTGATATAATTGGATATCACGTAACTTGCTGCAAATGATACCAATAACAAAATTTTCTGAAGATAAACTTGACGCCAATAAATTTACATAAATTTAATAATGCCTGTAATTTAAATAATTATGATCGATATCGTTATTAATAAATTAATAATATCAACAGTATAAATAATTACACTAATTATTATATAAATTAATAATAAAAAATTCGTATTGCTGAATTTGTGAAAATTTATTGCCGTATCTTTAGATTATTATTTATCATTTACAATACAGTAATTTATATATGTTTATTACCATCGTTAACTGCTTATATCAATATTTATCGGTATTTAACAATTAATATTTAAATAATTAATTACGCATATGTATTTATTAATATTTAATTGGCAAATACAAATTACTATGTTATGAACGACGCCAATAACAAAGATAATCATACATATTAATATAAATATATAATATAATAAAAATTCTAGGACATACATTCGTTTTAAAGTTGGAAAAATGAGATAATACTTTATACAACAGAAAAATCTGTAAACTTGCCGAGCGATGATTCTACATTATTCAAAAATATTTATTCTCTCAAAAATTTGTTCGTTTACGGCGTCGTTTTCAAGAAAATGGTCTCTGAACATGTTTCGTTAAAAATTGCCTCGGTTATACGCGTATAAATTTTCGAATTCGATTTCCTCGAAAGCGAAGCATCTTGCAAAAAAATTTTATTCCCGATTTCAGAAGAAATCTTCTTTGTCGTTTCAGAGAAATCATTTTTCATGGACCCTATCGTCCATATCCAATTTCTAATTGATTCGCGTCAGAAACGACAAATCCTCAGCTTTCCACCAAGGGATTGATAAATTCCTGTCGCGAACAGAATCAAACTGGTTCGTGGCTAAATAAGCCGTGATGTGCCAGCCGAGGCTGAAATTCACGCGTTAAATGTTAATTCAAATGTTAATTATACGGGAAATTAGTCGATCGTGAAATTCCGTGAATTCTGTAGAACTACTGTTTCGTCTGTTGCCAGTCTGATCTCGCGATCAATCCCGTTGCCTAGTGTTTACGCTAGCCTTGTTATTCTCGTATCTAATGCCTCGCGGATCTGTATCCTGCTTTCTCTCTCTCTCTCTCTCTCTTTCTCTCTCTGTCTCTACAGTTAATTATGTCACTATCAGTTTCCTCTGACCGATCAACAG